TGTTTTTGAGGCCAGTTTACCTGTGAATTGTAATGCTACATAGTTCTGTTTGCTGGTAAGTTTATGAACTGTATATAAAGAATCTTATAATATTTTCTTTAAGCTTCTTTGATATGAAACTGTCGTAGTTAAAATATAAACCTAAAAACATAGGTTTATGATAAATTCCAATTTCACACTTTTTACTATTGTTGATGAGCAAGGTGTTTAGGAATGGTAGATAAGTTTTTGTTCTCTTCCATGGTGAATTTAATATTTTCATGTTGTTTATTTTGATAGTTAAGAAACTTCTTCACCTGTTCTTTATTCTTAAATGCAGTAGAAGTATCATCCACATGTTTTTTATACAACAATGGTTTAAGTTGTATAGGGCTTTCTTTTAACCAGATCTTTTCAGGATAACACAAAAATAGATTTGTCAATATAGGGACAATACTAGACATCATGCTAACTCCATCTGTTTGATTATATACCTTTCTATTAACCAAGAAATGCAATTGTTTTTTTGTATTCCATGTAGTTTACAGAGTATTTCTTTGGATAAATCATTTACTCTCTGAACTCGGGGTTGGTCAACTTGATAAACTATGTGGCCTCTTTGTACTCATTTAAAGTCTTTATAAATTTAATACTTCCAACTTTCAATATGGCTAGAAGCCTTTCACACACAAAAAATCATATTTTTTAGTGAAGTATTTTTAATAAACTAAAACAAATTTGTTTTGAATAGTCTGTGTGCAAAGAAATTTTCATTTTAAGATTAAAAATACTTTCATCATCTCAGAAATCTCAAATTTCCTTTGTATAATACCTAAAACCTCCTAAATACATTTCAGACGTTTTTTTTTTTATTGTAAAACTTTATATTTCATCTGTTATTTTCTCTACCCTAACTCAAATCAGGATTGGTCAATTTGACTGACCTTGTAACCACAAAAAGAAAATCAAAATAAATCTAAACCACCCTTTTTTTTCTTTCTAGAATATACTTAAATTGTGACAAGAAACTACGTTAGTTTATCCTAAGTACCTTTAAGCTCGTAACAGTATACATCTATTTATAATTAAATTTGATTGTTTTATTGCCCTTTTGATTGCCCTTTGAACCATGTCTAACTACTATCCGTGCTATAATAAGTTGTAAATCATTTGGAGCATGTG